AAAATATATACAAAACGAAAAAATAGGAATCCTACAAAATCTTGGGTGAAGGACATTTTGTCTCAGGCCATTCCGAACTCCGGACATGTAACGGGATGTTTGGAAATGAATTTTTATCCCTGAAAATATATGACGGGTGTTCGTAAACAATATTGTACAGGAGATCGTAACAGAAAAGCAGGGAAATCGGAATGGTGTGACCAGGTGTTCGGAATAAAATATTTCTTGGCAATGTTATATAATGACTGGAGATCGTAATGAACAATGTCGGATGTTCGGAATGTATGTTTAACGATATTTTTACTTAAAAAGACCGGAAGAACCGGATGACATTAACGGGAAGTTCGTAAGAAAATTTACAGGAAGATCGTAAAGGATATAAAAACTTTTCTTTTTGTTTCTATATAGAAGAATGAGAGTCATTTTAAAACAAAGAAAAAGAGACATTAAGGAAGAGAGAAATATTTATAAAATATTTATTAAAGATTAAATTTAAAAGTGAAGAGAAAATATTTCTTTTTTGTTTAATTAGAGTTAAAATAATAAAAATAAAAGCAATCTTGATTGATTACATTTATCAAAACGCTCTTCATCCTCTACCATAGACTGTAAAATAAACTTGTTACTTCACAATCTCTGAAAAGAGAGCAAATATCAACATAGTTACGAACATTCTCTCGTTTTCATCACGATTGTCCTCTCTTTGCCGTTACGAACTTCCGGACTTTCTCATTCCGATCCTCAGTCAAATTTTATCTCTTCAATCATCGTTAATGGGTTGTCAGAGTTCATTACGAACTTCCGGACAGATCTCATTTCGAACATCCTGGTTTTTGCCATATTTTATTGACTTTTGCAATTGAAAAATCCATCCCGAACATCCGGTCTTTTTTCTTATGCTCCGAGATCGTAACGAACTACTGCTACCGGAGTTCGTAATGAAGAGGTGAGACGAAGTGTCAATTTCCCAGAATTTTACCGTAGGATTTTGTAAGGAAAGACATAAGATTCTTATTTATAGGAATCCTGCAGGATTTTTGCTACCGTCCTATATCAAGAATACTGTAATACTTTATGCTACACCAGGCATTCAATCGTCTGATCCTGGCTAGCTGGGATCAAAGAATAGTTAAACAAATAAAAATATTGAACTTAGTAGGAACCATATCATATCCTAGCTGATCATGTAAAATCCTATTATAAGATTATACAGGATCTTATAAGTTCCTACAGGACAATACAAGTTAATTATCTAAAAACATGAAAATTGGATCAACAGTAGAACAAATGAAATCTTATCTAACATTAACAAACATTAACATTAACAATAAGAATCAATTACCGACTTTATAGAATTTAGCTCGGAAACATCTAGCTACATCATCATTTGAACAGGCGTATCAAATGAATTATCTTCAGCATTTTAGCATATTACCACCAAGAGCATGGTTAACATCCAAAAGTTTTCCTTATAGTGTTTTTCTAAAAGCTAAAATCGGAGATTAAACTTGAAAAATTAATTTTCTCATTAGGACTTGTTTTCGAGAAAACCTTAGATGTAATAATCTAGATATTCATTTTTGTGATTATTTCCGAAAGAGAGTTCAGTGAGAGTCGGATAAGATTGTCGAGAGAGAAAACCCTTTGTCTTGTATACTAATGCGCTTTCCATTAGTATAGATAGAATACTAATATATACTAATGGAGCCGACATAGCAAAACTTGGTACGACAATTCCAGCTACAAGTACACCAAGTGAAGCAGCCTTTTCTGTTGCCAGTTATTTTCAACCAAAAAAATCTATGTTCATTAACTCCAAAAACAATGGAATATTCAATGTTTATAAAAGCCAAATTTGAACATTTGTGTTTTGTAATGTCGTGTTCCATGGCTTTTCCGATAATAAAAGGCTTACATTCTACAGTGAATGTTTCAGGCATACATTAAAATAACGCTTACTTGAAAAAACGTCGTATCTCTTTTCAATAAGCAGTTAGAAGAACGTATGTAGAGAAATAGAGACAAAAGGCTTTATATGAGTTGATATCGTTATTCTCCTACAGAATTTTACGTTTACCGCAGACTATAAAAACTATAAATAACGTTCCTGTTCATCCGAACCCTCGCATTCACGGTCAAGGAACGAAAGGTGAAGTTTAACAGGCCTGTTTTCAAGTTTTGATCTATCGTAATCTAACTTAGCGGTGAAGAAACAATTACTGTTATGTGTTATCTTAAGTAATTATTTTTTCAGCAGTAAAGGCAAATGAATGTTAAGTGTAGTAAAAAGAGGAAGTTTGTCGATAGATGTTCGATAACTAAAAAAAAGAATTATGCACATGATTGGCATTTCTCACAAAATGATGAAGTGAAAAAAAAAGTATTATTAGCTTTGACAACTTTGTTATTTTTTAAAAAATCGATTCTACCAAAGCCAATGATTCTACAGTTCCAATGATTATATTCATAATGAGCAACATTAATTACACATACAGTCAAAACTATTCGTATAATCTTTGATTCTAAGCGGGGCCGCTAAAAGTTGAGCGAACAACGGTATAGCAGCATTTTATGACAAAAGCGATTTATCATCTAGAGACTCACTCGTAAGACAAAGAGGGGTGTCAGGGTATGAGTACACAGTGTATTCTCAAAAAGAGACTATTTTTTCAAACTTGCTGGGCCTGGTGTATTCTCACTGAGAATACAACAAGCCCAGCAAGTATATACTCAGTGAGAATACACGAGAATATACCAGAATACGCAAATATATAAATTTCTATAAAATGTGCTGGGCTTGGTGTATTCTCATTGACAGTATACAAATGTTGCATAGTGGCTCACTCTCATGCTGCACCTCCCCCTCCCAGATCGCGACACTAATATTATGTATTGTCAATGAGAATGCACCAAGCCCAGCAAGCCCAGGAAATAGTGTCTTTTTGAGAATACACTGCGTACTGATATTCTGACATCTCTAAAGACAATGGATTAAAATGAAATTTAGCTATTTTTCCTTTGGTACTATTCTGTATGTATTATTTTTGGGATTCTTTATTGAAAATTGGCTAGACAACTTCTACTTTTTCCGTATCCAAGTTATTTCCTTCGTTGATACTGGATGTTAGGTTCCTGGGTGAACTAAGATCTTTCTCACCCAACGTTTATTTGAGAAAACTTTATACAAAGATAGCACACACTGTTACACAAAAAACGCACATATATATATATACTAAGCCGTTGCACAATCTTAAGAAACGAAGTCTGATGCCCTGATTATGCATACCATCCTAGAACTGTTCTATCTCGTTGACCAAGACTGACGCAATAACCTTGACCATAGTCATGCACCACACTCTTAAAAAAAATTGTGTCGTATTATGTGTGGATGTGTCGCAAACAGCTCCCTGTGTCGCAAAAAAATTAAGGATAACTAACCCCTCCCTTCTTTTTTGCAAAAAAGTTGTCATTTTGAGCTGAACATAGTCTAATGTAGAGGAAAGTCTGGGCTATAAAATGAGACCGCTTCCAGAGTTCACACCAGAGGCGGAAACGGATGAGCTTCGAGAGAAATAAAAATATATTTCGGGTCTCGTTCGGGCCACCGGAAAAATATTCAGTTTCTCATGCGTTTCTGCCACAAAACTAAAGTTTTCTTGAAAAAATTATGAAGTTTTAAAGTTTTTTCTTCACAACCTAGAAAATCTCAATTTTTTAGATTCGTAAATTTTCCCCTCCTTTTCTATGTATTCAAACTTCTTTCTTATATATAGCATGATAGAAGAAAGTATGCTCTTCAAAATAAGATGTTTTCCAGAATTTTCTGGTGAGTTTTCTTAGAGATATAAGCATAGCCGCAAATGCCCTGAAAAACAGAGCCCTGTGTACAATATGTGTTTTTCTCACTATGCGTTTTTTAATAGTGCCTTCAATTGGCACACATTACGACCCATCGAAAGAATGATCCGATCGAGCTCAAAATTTTACCACAGATACTTTAGATCCTATCTCAGGTTCGTCTTTTTAAAAGCCTTTTTGACTTCAACTTTCGGCGTGAGAAGGTTTACAAAATGAAAAACCGGTTTTTTATATGGGATTTTCAGTATTTTTCGCATATCTCGAGAAGGAAAGAATACTTCGAAAAGAAAAAAATGAACCTCAGATAGGGTCTGAAGTATCTGTGGTAAAATTTCTAGCTCGATCGGACCATTTTTTCGAGGGATCGTAATGTGTGCCAATGAAAACTGGAGTTTTCCAGAAAACCCATAGAACAACACGTCAGAAAAGTCTGGGCAAAAATATATCGATTTTCTTTTTCGATGTTCTGTCTCTGGTATAAATTAGAACCCGATCCGACATCGGCTTCCCTAGTTTCCAAGAGGGTAAAAAAAGAGGGGGGTACCCTTAATGTGTCGTAGAGTCTAGCTGAAAAATGTGTCGGGAAAATTTTAGACACATTTTTCAGCTAGACTCTACGACACATTAATTTTTTTGCGACACATCCACACATTTAGAGTGCATAACCGTGAATATATTCTTGCGAAATAACCTTAACAATGATCTTCCCCCTTGTGGCACGATTCTTGTGCGTGCGTGGCATAACAGTGAATGTCGAAGATGAATGATCCATTTGTTTTATTCTATGTACATTTAATGCAATAGATTATGATGATTGCCCGATATAAAAGTCTATCTATCCTGTTGTAACGTAATTATGTCACTTTTTTTTCAAAACATGAACATAAAAAAAAAAAGAGTTCTCTCTTTCACAGTCTATCATCCTTAATGTTTTGTTTTCACGGTAATAATATTAAAAAAAAAATTCATTTACATCCTTTTCTTCTTTTTTATTTAATAATATCGGCTTCTGGGTCACGCTAAACGAATACCAATATTTTCTATAATTAAACATAAAGTGAGAGAGAACTTTTGAACGTCTATAAATTAGCTATTTTAAAAAAAAAACATTTGAATATGATTGTTCATCTTGTACATTTTAAATGTCAAAACTTTCGAAAGCAACTGGAAACATGTAAGTATATGAAAAGTATTATTGATATCTGTTGATTTAAAGAAAAATTTAGTGTTTTCATGAATTTATCTATTTATTTATTTAAAGATCTGACTATAATGATCAAATGTTTTTAATTGTCGATAAAAATAAATTAAATTATTCTTATGTTCTAATAACGACAGATGAAATATGGACTCGTGCAGCTTTAGCACCGTGTTCTGTACTCAAACTGATTGCCAGTTATTTATTAGTTGTATATATTTTTGGTTTATTACTTAATGGTTTTGTATTACATTTATTTTGTAAAGAGAAACATTTACGTAATCCAACCAACATATATCTTATTTGTTTATGTGCAACTGATTTTATTGGTGCTCTATTGGAAATACCATTACCATTAACATCAAATTTTGCATGCAGTTAAGTTTTATTATTTGAATTGAAAAAAATAAATAATATTCAAAATATAACTCAACGTTTGATGTGTCTCTGATACATTTAGACTAATAAAAGTGATACAATGAAATAATGTAATAATTTGATCGAATTCTTTTTTATTATAGATGGCTTTTTGGTAAATATGGTTGTTATTATGAAGGATTTATCGCATACTGTATTGGCATGATCGGTCTCTATCTGTTAACAGCTGTTTCATTGAATAAGTAAGACAATAATTGATATTATATAAATTTAATAATTTCTCAACTATTTAGATATTATATGATTGTTAAACCATTGTCAAGGAATATCTTAACAATGCGTACAACATTTATTTCTGTTGCCTTAAGTATTTTTGGTGGCTTATTTTGGTCGTTGACGCCGCTAATCGGTTGGTCTTCTTATACATTAGAAGGTGTTTTAACATCCTGTTCGATTACATGGCAAAGTCGAACAGTAAATGTAATTAGTTATAATATATCACTATTTATATTTGGCTATTTTTTACCATTATTGGTTGTAATTTATTGTAATTATAAGATATATCGAACAGTGAGTATATACCTTTTAATATGTGACCAATACCAAATTCAATTCTTTTCAAATATCTAAAAATATATATCATATAAATATTTATTTTCCATTTTCTTCAGTCGTTTATAATATGACTAAGAGAAAAGTCTATCATTAGACATCACTAAATATTTGTTTGATAATAAACATAGAAAGTCATAGTGAGATGTTAGAAATTCAATTCATTTAGTTTATAACTATTCACACTGACAAATTAACGATATTTAAGGGGACTTGCTAAAATAGTGTATAATTTTATCATTATATCTTTTTCTTTTTCACTTGTCACAAATCGTGAACTACATAATTTAATAAGAGAAAAACAGTAAAAAATAGATGTTAACACATTTTTTTTTATCTAATTGAAAAGCGTTTGAAAATCTCTTTAAAAATTTCTCATTATTTTTTTCCACGTATTTTAAAATTCGATAACTATCCTTTTAAAATTTATCTAAGTTAAATCTATTAGAGTATTACGAGGGCGTTCTGATGATGAAGCGATGACCTTTTGCAGTTTGAATGAGTTGTTAATCATGTGTATTTGTATCACAAACTATTTTAATATATTACTCAAATAAACTGTATTTATCGGCTTTTTTTATAGGTTCATCACGTGTCAAGACATACAAAATCTCATAGACAAGCGAGAAAAAAACTTGAACTAGAAAGACGAGTGACAAAAATAATTCTTGCAGTGATAGGTAAAGTTAACTTTTTCAATTTGGAAAAACTATTGCATGTCAAATTTGAAGGCAAACTATATTCTTACTTCCATCCAGTTTTCCAATTCTCATCAAAATTTTTCATTTTTTAAGAATTAATCCATATTCTTTTTCCATTTTAATCAGATCATTTCATTCACATTTTAAGTCGTTTCAGCTGAGTTCCTCTTACAAAAATTGTTCACTTTTGATGTTTTTTGTCTTTTAGCGGGATTCTTCATAGCTTGGACACCTTATGCCATTGTTTCGTTAATTTCCAGCTTTATCCATCCATCAATTGTAACACCTTTGGCTGCAACACTACCGGCAATATTTGCTAAATCGTCTATTTGTTTTAATCCGCTCATATATGTTGCCACACATAAAGACCTGAGATCAAAACTCTTGTTTTGGAGAAAGAAGATTGAAAAAGACAGCGGTATGTTTACTACACTATTTAAATAATTAAATCAAACAGGTTAAAAATCAAATTTAGGATGAAAACGAAAAAACCTGTTCGATCTCATTTTTTTGATATAGATTAGATGACAATCTTTTGGTTTTTTCTTTCGACTACATGCGTGATATAGATGGTGAAGAGCCCCTAGTGTTAGAAAAAGGATCTAATTTTCCGTCTCTTTTTTATATTGCCTAAAGCATAATTAATTTCTAAAGATTGAAAAAAGAAATGTGATTGACAGAAGAAAGTCAATGTCACGTAAGACTAATAATTAATTAACATTTACACCGAGAAGCAACTGAAACAGATTTTTCTGATTTATATCCTAACAAAACTAACAGGCAATAAAAAAAAGAAACATGTAGAAATCTAGTTCAGCAAAAATCGTAAAAAGTCTAAAAAGTCTATGAAAATTTTTCTATTTTCAGTGAGTGCATCGTATACGCCAGCTGTGCTTAAAAAATCAGTATTCAAACCAGAAATGATGATACAACTTGTTCAATATGAATTCATAACATCATTGTGATTGACAATTCAACAAGTAACTCCAATTTATTAGCGTTAAAAACACTTTTCAGGACGCAACTTTTAGTAGTTATGATTTTCAATCTATAGCTCAGACTAAATAATATGATCAACACATATATGATAATTTTGCTAGGCGAGCGAAAGTTCCAATGCGTTTGAGAATAAACGAAATCAGCTAGCGTGCGTGCATGCAAAACATTTTCATAAAAACGCTAGAACAAATTAAATGGAGAGATGTATAGGTTCATATACACTGCAGTGTGTATGAACCTATTTCCTATTACATTCATGTATATTCTGAAAATTGTAACAGTGAGCTGGAAGTGGTAAAAAGAATGACATAAAATCACATTCTGACACGTTGGAACCTGATCACATCAACTTGGTCCAATGCACTCGAGTTAGAACGCTTATGAACTTGTTCACATTTTTCTACATGTATCCGGTTTTGCACAAGTTACAATATGTTAAGTTCATTATTTCGTATATGATTGCAACCGTCAAGCACGTTACGAGATATCCAATAATTTAAGTGTGAGAGTATACGCCGAGTTTTAGTAAGAAATGCGGTATTTCTAAAGTCTGTAATGGATTCTCTGCTGGATTCTTGGCGGACTCGGACGGGACATTTTTTTGAAGAACTCGGACTCGAACTTGAGTTTTTGTATTTCGAGTCTAATCCAATCAACTTTTAACACGAATGAAGAGAGAAAAATGAAAAGCGAAATAACAATACCTTCTGTTTCACAAAAATCAAATTTCTATCCAAGGCTCAGTAAATTAAAAAAGAGAAATAAACCACACTCATCAAAAAAGAATCTGAAAGATTACTGGACTTGGGAACCCTCGGACTCGCCCATGCCTGATTTTCTGTCAAATTGCCAGTGACTTTTTCAACATAGTGTAGGAGAAAAAACAAATATTTTAACAACGGTTTACAGTTTTTAACGTGTTAGTTTCATAAATTTTATCTAAAAGTTTTGAAACGAGTTTAAAATATTCTCATTATTTGTAATGCATTTGAGATAATTTAAATTCTAACGAGTTGAAAGACGTTCGAAAGGAAATAATTTTTAATATGATGCGTTCTAACGCATTAATTGTATATCCTTTTTTCTCGAGCACGTTGGAACAGGTGACAAAGTTGTTTTCTTCGATTAGAACCCGTTATTTTATAAGTTTTCCTTTGAATGCATTGGAACTGTCATTCAAGTGATAAAATTATCTGATGAGATATTATATCGTCTGAAGTCAAATCGTATGGACAATGATGTTGAATGTTTTTTTTGTGATTGATGACAAAAGTATTGTTTTTTTCATCTTTATTTCTTCTAATTTTTAAGCAAAAAAACGTTAGAAATAAACACTGTTTGAAAGGTAAATTCTACTCTATTTAATATTTCATTCATTCGTGATATTCTTAATAACAATAATTCCTTTGAAATTTTTGGCTACTAATGCACCTTGTACTCCTTTAATAAACGCTTGTCCAACAATATTCATCGATAAATGACTACGTGTTTCACCGTTTGATAATAATATATCACTTTCAACATTACGAATAATTATATCACCATCAATATTTTGTATTTTTGTATTGCCATTGTCTTCTCGAATATCCACAGTTGATCGTCGACGTCGATGATTATGAACAATAATTTCACCATATTTTTTTGATACATCACTCGTTTCATCTCGTTCTAATTCTTTTAACATCAACTGTTTTGGACCACGAAATAATTGTAATTCATTATTTAATTCCAATGTTTCAAAACCATTCTGTTCTCTATTAATAAAATTTTCATCATTAAAAACATCTTTCAGAGCTTCATTCAAACTAGCGTTAACCGGTTCTTCAATTGTTTGATGACCAGCAGCTATACAAATGAAAACACAATAATATTCAACTATGTCTACAATTAAAAAGGTTAAATAACATTTACCTGCTTTCATTACACCACCCACAATTGATTCCAATGTTTCTTCGAACTTTTTCAATAATAACGATGAATCAAACGGTAATTTTTTTTCTTCTGAAAATATGTATTTAAAAGAGAAAAAGTCTGATGTTAACTGAAAGATTCTACTATATTTTACCTGATTTCTTTTCCAATTTTAATTGTACAATAGTTGTCGGATCCACATTTGAATTATCATTTGATGTATTATTGATTTTAAATGAATAAGCAGTATTTTCTTCAAGATTATCAACATTTGCAGTTAAATGTGTTTTATCAATTTTACCAACCTGAAAAAAGTTTACATAAAATATGTACAAATATTTATTACTATATTGTTGTAGTGATGTATTGTTTGCAACATAAAGGCACAGTGTGTATTTTTGGACAGACATCAAAGTTTTTCGACGTTTGAACTATTTTACATGGTTTATATTAATATTTCACAATATTGGAGTTGAAATGGCCGGAATGCCCTGGCGAGAAGGGCGAACTTAAAGGTTCAAAGTATAACAATCGATTTGCCGATATAAAAAAAAGAATTATCATGAAGTTTGGTTTATCGCTGGTGCATTTTATGAGAGAGATAATTACAAGTAGCGTCACCGTGGTGACGCCACTTGTAATTACTCCAAACTTAACATCTTCAAGGAAACACCAAAACTTCATGACAACCCTTTTTTATATGGGCAATTCGATTTTTATACTTTGAACCTTTAAGTTGGCCCTTCTCACTAGGACATTCCGACCATATGATTGATGATAAAACGTCTAAAAAATTTTAAATGTTTTTTCAAAACAAACCAAAAACTTAATATTTTTTATCTGTTAAATTTTTGAAAGACATGTCATTCGATGCAGCTCGATAAGCTGATTTCGAATATGTCGTTGGTTTTGAAGAAAAAATACGAGTTGAAAACAGAGAAAAGTACCAATTATATGCAAACTCAGGAATTTGGAGAAAATCTGTACTCAAACAATGCGTCCACTATAGATGTACTACATACAGATGAAGATTTTGTCAAAGTTTCGATTAGTTCTAAAAAGAGGAAACTATTAAAATGAAGGTCTATATTTTAGAGAAAAATTCACTGTGGAAAAAATTCTTTTTTTTCGACATTTTTATAACAAACTTAATAATTCTTTCGTCATGATAACTACTCAGAATTATTTTTATCCAAAACCTGGAGTATTTGCCATCTAACATTTCACTAATTACTCAAAAAAACTTATTTTTGCCTAGTGCCACCTTCGTAGAGCAAATTTTTAAATAATGTTGTATTATTTTCTCATTATAATTGTGAGTTAAAGCGAAAGTTAGTTTGGCAGTTAACTGCAAAACTAAGTTCACATGTTCGAATTTGTACAAAATTGATTTTGTGTTCTTCGATAGTTTTAGTTTAGAATACTATAATGGAATATTTTTCCGCTTGTATTCTGAGAATAAAGCTTATATTAAATTATAATAAAACTTATATATAAGCTTATATACCAAAGTTTTTATATCAAAAGATACACCAAATATCACCATATCACGACAGAAAAATAAAGTTCACGCAGAGCCGGGAAGAATACTTTTTCGTATTCAGCATACTCAATAACCCAATAGATTTTCGATTTTTGGCGAGGGGTACGATAGAAAGTTTGGGAAAAATGTTGAAAAAAACTTTTCATGGAAGAATAATATTGGTTTCAAAATTTTCTTAAACTTTTGGTAGTATTCATCAGCAAAACTAGAAAATCTACTAGGTTATGGAGTGTGCTGAAGACGAAAAAGTACTTTTCCGCGGCTCTATATGAACTTTATTTTTTTCATAGCGGTGATATGTTTTTACAGTGGACATGGGAGGAACCAATATTTTTCGGTTCATATTCAGTTCAGAAAAAATTCTGTTCGTGAAATACGAAAACAACATTTTGTTAATGGTAGAAAGCTCAGGAGTTTTCTAATCTGTGGTGTAGACCGTGATTGTTACAGAGCAAACTGTACCATCATTCCAGCAGTTCATTCCTTAATTTCAACGATTATTCTTGATAATTTTTTGAAAAAGTTCTATTTAAGTATAGAGAAAAGGTAAATTCTTAGCTATTTTTAAGAAATCGTCCAAACAGTTCCTTATTCGGATTCAAATGGATCGAACGGGCTACCCATGTCTAGTGAGCACCATCTATTCTAATTAAAAAAATCTCAATTTCGACTCTTAGCTAAATATCCGCCTGGATGCATACTGTAACAGGATATCTGGATAGGTGAAATTTTAACCGATACCTTATGCCATTGTTTCTCTTGATCACTTTTTGCATAGATATCAAATTCATCCCGTATTTTCCCGTCATCATCACATGGAATTGCTTCAATTACGACACTGTTTTGATCAATTTGAACTACATTGAACGTAGGTGGATTATGTTTAGACACAGTTTCATCTAAAAAACTCAAGTCCTATGAATATATTGAAATATATTATATCAATTACCCTTGATTTTACTTGATGGCATTTGTCTTTCTAATATGAGAGACATACGGGATGAATCATCGTTTATCAAGATAGGCGTGAAACGAAATTTATAGTTTGTTGATTCATTGAGATTTTCTATAATAATATGCGGAGCGTCACTTGAGATATCTTCAACCTTGAAAAAAGAGAAAAATAAAAGAAAAAATATGTTCCATTGTTATTGATTGCTCTTGATCGATGTACCTTTTCCCATTCATCGTTTGAAGCAGGGCTGTATTCAACACTATAACCATCACATTGTCTGAAACCCTCTTTCTCTATATTTACTTCAATTTTATTCGATGATAATGGTTCAACATGAAGAAAACTAAGCCATTCATTTACATTTGGAACAACAAACAGTTCGCTGTCTTGATCTAAAACAAATGTTTTTCACAGAATATAGAGCCGTTTTTTTCTAATCTAATCAAATAACCTATTTCATCCTCTTGATTTTCAACAGATAACGACTCCGATGGTTTTAGACGAAACTCACAACGTCGTGCATTCATTAGATCATCAACTTTGATAGCACCAAGTGATGCATCTACAGTGTCTACCTAAAAATAGATAAAAAAAAGGTGGAAATAAAATTTAGTGAGAAGGATATCAAATACCTTTTCCCATATGTCTTTTTGTTGCTCTTTTTTTTCAACATCGTACATTAAAACTTCGCTCATATCGTGGCTTGGTGGTTCCCAGATTAACTCAACCGATTCTCGTGATAAAACTTTCACATTCGGTTTTATATAGACTGGCAATGTTTCACCTTTCGAAGGAGAAATTTTATCTGTTGGATCACTATAAAGAATTTGTCCATCAGTCATATTTGCAACTAAACGAAAACGTAATGGGTCTGTCCATGAAGGCATTTCTACACTGGTTTTTGTCTGATTCGATTTAATTTTTTCGCCAATGGTTGTCCATTCACCGTTTTTATTTTCACATTCGATCATACAATTACGAACTGAAGGCAATGCATCCCATTCCAACGTGGTCAAAACATTTTTCTTACCTGGCACATTGTTACAATGTACAGTCGGTGCGTTTATTCTAACATGTTTTTTATCTTTGATATTTTCTATTTCCTCGTCGGATTCATGATTATCACGCAAACGATTTTGAACTTCATCTTTATCAGACAGTTCTTCATTTGTATCGTCAGCTATACATTGGACCTCCTGCGAAATTATTTTTTCAGTATCAGCAAAACAACTTTCCCGAGAAGGCAAATTTGCAACTTCTTCAATTAGTGATTTTTCATTTTCTGCATCGGTCCCAAATCGACTCCTGGTTTTAGCTGATGATTCATCATTTTTGTCTGATTTTTCATTTTCCACATCGGCCCCAAATCGACTCGTGGTTTTGGCTGATGATTCATCTTTTTTGTCTGATTTTTCATTTTCGACATCGGCCCCAAATCGACTCCTTGCTTTAGCTGATGATTCATCTTTTTTGTCTGATTTTTTATTTTCTGCATCAGCCCCAAATTGACTCGTGGTTTTAGCTGATGATTCATCTTTTTTGTCTGATTTTTTATTTTCTGCATCAGCCCCAAATTGACTCCTTGCTTTAGCTGATGATTCATCTTTTTTTGCTGATTTCTCTGGTTTTTGAAAAGAGTCTTGTGAGATGTCTGGCGTTGATGGTACTGAATTTGAATTTTTCAGATCGTGACTTATTTCAGATGATGAATGCGACTGGAGAGTGCCATTTTGAGCCGAAGAGGGTTTATCTTTAGTAGTAGAAGCTAGATGAGCAGCTTTTGACTTGTTGTCCAAATCTTTTTCAGTGTCTGTGATGCCTTGTGTATCACTATCAGATGTTTCATCGTGAATCGAAGCGGATTCTTGTTTTGAATTAAAAACTTCGTGTTTTAATGTATTTAACTTTTCATTATTCTGAACGTTATCCGATAACTGATCCTCATGATCTTCTTCTGACTGAGATGCCGACTTTTGCAGTAATGACTCTTCCTCTCCATCGTCAACATCAACTTCTGTTCTATTTCCATCACAGCTCACACCTTTAACAGGATCGCTAGTGAACTTTACGTTCTCTCCATGTGGTAATTTTTCGGTATCATCTATTGACTTTCGCAATGATACTTTTCTGTATGCACTGCCAGCATCACTTTCTGTATTAGAGTTCATATTTTCTGAAGTAGATTTCTCGTGAATATTACTGATTCTATTACCATCTGGTTTTGTCTCTTGTTCAAAGTCCGAATCATCCACGGTGGTAATATTCCAGTTTTCAGATGGTTCAGTTTCATGACGTTTGTCTTCCTTTTGTTTTCTGGAAATACCTGATTCATTGGGAACGTGAATCATTTCAGAAACATTCGATCCTAAATAAATAACATATATAATCGAAATCAAAAAGTATATTTTTTTATATACCATTCATTTGATCTTCATTATACTGGAAACTTTCCAGTGTTTCTTCTGTCATTGGACTAATGCCTTTAACAGACTCAGCAAATTTGACATCATGCTTTGACTTGATTTCAGTTGGTATTTCAGCTGAAGATTTTGATCTTGTCTTTGGCAAACTATCGTTTTCCTCTTGTGTTGTATGACGCACAGATGTTGGAATAGTTGAATGGCTGTTTTCATCAATATTCGAAGTACTATCAATCAATTCCCTTCGCCGTTCGAATGATGATTTTTCGTCTTTTCCAATTAAATCGTCATCATGAGATCTTAATTGTTGTTCAGCTGAATATCTTGATTTTATCTGCGGTAAACTATCGATTTCCTCTTGTGTTGTATGACGTACAGACTTTGAAATAGTTGAATGGCTGTTTTCATCAATACTCGAAGCACTATCAATCAATTCTCTTCGCCGTTTGAATGATGACTTTTCTTCTTTTCCAATTAAATCGTCGTCATAAGGTCTTAACTGTTGTTCAGCTGAATATCTTGATCTTGTTTGCGACAAACTATCGATTCTTTCTTGTGTTGTATGACGTACAGATTTTGAAATAGTTGAATGGCTGTTTTCATCAATACTCGAAGCACTATCAATCAATTCCCTTCGCCGTTCGAATGATGACTTTTCTTCTTTTCTAATTAAATCGTCACCATAAGATCGTACGTGTTGTTTAATTGGCGTTTGTTGAAGTTGATCTCGCTTATCTCTAAGTTCTTGAACACGCGACACTGATCCTCTTTGTGGAAGTATTCCGTGATGAACAATTGAATGCAAATTATCTTCATTCTGTTCCATAGCCTATATTCACACATACAGTACATAGAATTGTATGAGAATTGCATGAGATATTTTCATTACTTTAAGTCGTTTATACGCATCACTGCCAGGTAACCTATAGATATACGAAAATCGATCAAATTCATACAAATTTCGATAACGACTATAACCAATTGGTAGAGTATCATATCGATAAAATATGTCAAGTTCCTCTTGATCAAGCATTCGTAATATTCGATTTAATTGTATTTCTTGACTAACAACCTGTACACCAATAAAAAAATTGTCTGTTGTATTCAATTCAATAGGTAAAAAAAGAATGCTAACCGTCTCGTGAACATTTCGAAGAAAAAAATAGTTTTCTAAACGTTTTTCGGCACCCACTGCCATGAAATGAGTTAATTGATGTTGTGGATTGTCCTTTAAAATATAAAAAGAAAACCATTCTAGAAAAATAGCTATATATGGAAAGAAACTAAATGAAAAACTACGTAGAAAACGATTGTTATGAGTATATGGGGTGTTAGCAAACTATTTGTACCGTTTGAACATAAAATATGGCCACGCATATATTTCGTACAGTCTGTGATCAAATTAAACGGTTTTTGTAGGAAATATTCCTCATAGTTGTGGCTAGTTTGGCTGCTAAAACTACACCTTCAACTATTGTTAATCTTGAGATATTAAAAAAAATAGTCAAATAGTGGTAGTGTGGAAATTATCATTTTTCTTAAGGCCTTTAGTAGTAGTATCAACTAAAATCAGCGAAAACGGTTCAAATCAATTTCGGCTTTTCACAAAAATCTGCGTCGAAACAGTATAATTGGCGTGCAATTGTCCTATATCATCAAATCAAATTAATTTTGTCTTTATTTAAATTTTGAATTCTTTCTTTCATGTTGTCAAGAGTATCGAATATAACTGAATTGATGGATTTGACGAAAAAATAAGTTTTTTAAGGTTATATTTGAAATTCTAAATTCTATCAATCAAAATCAATTAATAAAGATGAACTAATAATCTTACCATTGCTATTGAAATTATTATTGTTTAAATCTTAAAAGGACTCATTATATAGATCTATAAAAAGATCGGATCTGTTACAACTTATAAACATTCTCTCTTTTTTTATTCGGAAATTTATAATAAAATAGAGACAAGAGACAAGACGTTTTATTATCGTGTTTATGTGATTATTAGAGAATTGTAGAGTAAGGTGGGAGTAAGAATCGTATGGCCACATAAATCACTTGATATTTTTGGTTCTTCGATCATGCAAAGACAGAAAGATGGAAGTAAGAAAAAGAGAAAGAAGTACTAACTAATTGACAGGCTAGTGCACAGATTATTACTCTATTATTTATTATTTATGTTTTTTGTTATCGGATGGATGTTTGAAGGACGAATCAATTGAAATATCCGTTCTTTGTATTTGATTTGTTTGTTATGATTTTGGTATAATATATATTATAATCAACAACGTCTATTTTTTATAGAAAGAAAGAGAGAGAGATTATCCTCTATGAGATACATCTTAATCGTTATTAGAGAATGACAAAGAACTTTCCCTTTAGTTCTCGTATCTCCTTTGTTTTTCTCATCCAAATGTGTTAGATCTCTATGGATTGATTTTCACTTATTTTTTATTTCCTCCTTGATAGGACTAGGTTCGATCATGTTTGTATTATAGTTAGTAGTATGATGATAAACTATAGCCATATTATTTATGATGTTTTCCCCTATATCACTAATAATATAAATGTGTAAAATGTCAAGTGTAGGCAAGAATAACGAAAATAAATAGATCTAAGAATACTGTGATTATCGAAAACAAGCAAATAATAAAATGATTTTGTCTAGAGGCCTTTGTACATAACAAATACGAGTAGATATTGTATAAAAATTACATTTAAGAAATTAGAACTATTCGAAATTTTAAAAATAAGATTTATAAACATGTTTGAGAGATGATATAAAATTTATTGCGAGACTATCAGAATATTCTAAAGTTTCTTTTATCAATTTATTCACCATTTCCATTCACTTCGAACAGCCTTGAAAACATACAATTAGACAAATGTCAAATCACAGAGTAAATCAGAAGAAAATATGAGATGAAACTAATAGAAAGTCTAAAGGATGTGTTAAATACAATCATTATTTAAGTTTCTAATCGCTATTTAAATCTAAAAGGAGAGACTCAATCAAGTTTTTGTACTACGCCTTTGATAATACATGAGACTTTATTTTAGCCTAAAAGCCAATTCTCAATTTGATTGTTCTTTGTTTTGTTAATCTTGCTAATAGTAGTTTCTTAATAGGTTACAATTTTACCTTGAACTTATTTTTAGAAATTTTAAGCAGTATTATAGTCTAACAATTATTTCGATCTCGATGAAAGTATAACTAGAGGTTATACTGATTTAACTACTAGTGAATATGAGAATATTGACAGTATATAAACCAGAATATGGTGATTTGAAAATGAGTTGTGTTGGTATCAAAAGAAGGTATCATCACTGGTCTTAGTATCTGTATATTAGTAGTCGATGAGAACGTAAAGTTCTTTCGTTTTGTATTATGTTCATATTTGTGTGTTTTACCTCAATACAGAATAGATTAGGTATACACTGATTTTAGTTTTCAAACTGAAAAATCGATATAAAAAAAACAATGTTCAGTTTAAACCGGCACCAAAAAAACCAAAAACATTTTTTGTTTAAGATTTTAAAATGATATAAAGAGTTAACACATAACAGCAGGGGTGAGAGTAAAAAAATCGAAATACCTGCCAGGTTTTTCAGGTGAGCGCCTAAAATTTTTCATGTTTTTTCAAAAAAATTCAGGAGGCCAGAAAACAATTTCATTCGATACATTGAGCAATTCTTTTGTAACAATGTTCATGATACTCTACTTTTTTGTACCTTAGGGATATCTTAAGGGAGGATTCTTAAGGGATACCAAGCACCACGCAAAGTACCCGTAACATAGTCAAAAATTCAAACGATTTTTTATGATCTCATTAGATAAAGCGTTCAAAATTACCCATAAAACCCAAGTTTTTAAACCTTAGAGCCTAAAAACGAGTGAGTTACCGATTTTATACAAAAAGCCCCGAAAAAAAAATCGACACAGTAGACTTTTATCATATTTTAATTTTTTTCCATTGAGAGTATTACAAGGAACACAAAGTATAAATTTCTCCCCATGCATACCAATTGCTATCTACTTTTTTGGGTAAATGACAGGACTTCTACCATAAATGTTTCAATTTTGTTTGCAGCTAAATTCATTTTATTTTATTTGTAATTTATTTACAATAGATATTTCGATGCTACCGCATCATCGTCAGCAAGCAGCACTATGGACAGGCCATATATAAAATTCTGACGATGATGCGGTAGCATCGAAATATCTATTGTAAATAAATTACAAATAAAATAAAATGAATTTAGCTGCAA